TTGGAAGAGTTAGCACAGAAGCTCCCGGGACTGACGGCCCTCAACCTAGACCGGTGCCGTGTGGGGAACACCGGGGTGCGAGCGCTGTCGTCCCTCACCAAGCTGGAGGTGGGTGGAGGGGTGACGCGGAAGAAGCCTTATCCTTTTCCTATTGCTTGTTGGGCCGTGTGCGTATGTTGCGTTCCCAAAACTGGAAATACATAAAAGAGTATTGCGTCCCCAAAATTGAAAAACAAATAATGCGTGACCAAAACTGAAAATATGCCAAAAAACTGGGGCGACTGGCTGTTGTTTTTCGAACGAACTATGCACCTCTGTTGGAAAAATGCAGGGACCTTTCGGACATCGAACGTGGATATCCCCTCTCTGTAGTTTATTGCGTGTATTACGGGCAGTCGATTGGTTTGTCTTTGTTTTCAATTTCTTGCTTGGATCAGACCATCCTGACTTGCCAGTTTTTTTTGGCGGTATTGCTGGCTGTTCACTTCCCGTTGAAGGATTTCATTCTTTTTTTCATGTTCTCGGTGCGGGTCTTAACAGCGTTGTTTTTCCCCCAGACTCTTTTCTCCTTACTTTTTATTGTTCTCTGGTGGGAACACACACACCATGACTTGACTTGACTTTCGTCATTTTTCCTCCTTTGCCGCACCGCAGAGGCTGAACCTCGCAGACACTTCCGTCACGGACGCGGGGATGACCCACCTCGCCCCCCTCACCCGCCTGAGGGACCTGAACCTGTTCTTCTGCCACATCACGGACGCCGGGCTCGGGCCCTTGGCCGGTCTGTCCAACCTCGTACGGCTTAACCTCGACACGAGGTACAGAGTGTACCGTCGTCAGCCCTAAGTTGTTGGTCGTTGGGCTCCGTTTGTTTGTGTTCTGCTATTCGGGTTTTCGTCATCCCTTTTAACCTGGACGTGCTAGCCGGGGTCACGCAGGATGAAGGCGCACGGGAGTTATTCATGGAAACTTGCGTTTGTGCAGACGAATATCTTAATAGGGGTCGCATGTAGCAAACGACTGCATACCTGTCTTGATACTCAAGTAATTCGGGGGGCGAATGTTTGCTCTCGATTCTTCCTGAGTCTTGCTGCCGATACCGTCCCTGATGAGGGGTTGTGCTCGCGTGAATCAACCTGACTGCACCCGTAGGGTCGAGGGTTGGTTGGCGATTGCGATCCCGCGAAGCGTTCTGTCCCTGGTTCTTGTTGGTTTTGATGGGTGTGCCACCACCCTGTCGTCTGTTGGCCTCCTTTCCACACGCTCCCCGCGGATGCACGTATCATGGGTGTCGATCTCTCCCGCTCTCTCTCTCAATATAGTTCTCCTGTGTTTGTCTGTCTGTCTGTCTGTCTCTATCCTTCTCTCTCTCTGTGTGTGTCTGTCTCCCTCCCTCTCGTTGGCTCTGCCTCTCTCCCTCTGTCTCTGTCTATCTCTCTGTCGATCCGTCTACCTGTCTGTCTGTCGCTCGGTCGGTCTCTGTCTGTATGTGTCTCTCTTTCTTCATGTGTGTCTCCCCCTCTTTCTCTCTCTCTCCCTCTTTCTCCCTCTCTCCCTCTTTCTCCCTCTCCATCTCTCCCTCTTTCTCTCATTCTCTCCCTCCCTCTCTCCCTCCCTCTCCTCTCTTATTGCGGCGCGATGAACACCCCAGGGATGTCGGTGACGCGGGAATGGTCCAGCTGACGCGGCTGCGGCTCCTCGAGTCCCTGGACGTGTTCTCGGCCTCCATCACGGACTTTGGGGTAGCTCACGGCCTCTGCCGGCTGCCTTGCCTCACGACTCTTGAGGTAAATTATCTATGTACGGGTGCAGAGAGGGAGAGAGGAAGAGAGAGAGGGAGAGAGGGGGGGAGAGAGACACACAGACACACAGACACAGAGAGAGCGAGAGAGAGAGAGAGAGAGAGAGAGAGAGAGAGAGAGACAGAGGCAGAGAGAGACGAACCGGTTTTGCAGTATGCTATCTGTTGTTATTGTTGTTTGTTTTCGTTGTTGTTTGTTGTTCATGGCACAGTTTTTTTTTTTTTTTTCGTCTCGTGTAGTCGTGTCGAGTGAGGCGCGGTGCTAAACAGGCACAGTAGCTATGTGTTGGTGTTTGTTCTCTAACCCTGTAGTGTAGTCTTGGCGAATGAAAGGCGTTGGTGCTGTTGCTGCTCCTGCTGCTGAAGCAGGCGGTTCATGGCATCATATCTCACTGCACCCCATTGTGGCATTTACGCGTGTTTGTGTTGTCCTGAACAAGAATAGTAGTGTACTCCGATGGAGGACACCCTGGAAGTTCGCCGTATTGGTGGATTGCGCCTTCCGGGATTGGGTACTGATGTACTCCTCATGTTCTCCTGCCCTCTCCGCGCTATCACATTGCCGACATAGTTACCGCGCGGGATAAGTTACCCTCCATCGACCGAGCGTTGTCGTCGGGAAGAAGCAAGCCTTTCTCTCCCTGCATCCCGTCTGCTGTACCCCCCCTCTCGATCACATGCATCCGAGAAACCAACAGTAACGATCACGTTCACGAACAGGGGTTACTGGCTTCGTGTTCGTGGAAGAAATTTGGTAGTTGGTACCAAAAAAATTGAAAGGAAATTGTTTCGCTCCGCCTGGAGAACCAATTGGTTCATTCATGGTTGGACCGAGGTCGCTCCTAAATACATGGAAGAATGCATGGGGATGTTGCTGTTGGTAGTGACATTTTCCATCACGATCCCCTGGCGCGAGACCACGGAAAAGGTGCCTTCGTTAAGCAGGGACCGGAACGGTTTTGATGTGAAGACAAGCACAAGCACAACAACAACAACAACATTCCGCCCCCTCCCCTCCCCACCCCCCCTCCCGCCGGTGTTGTGTCATCGGGGTTGGGTTTTCGTCGCTTGGCAACGACGTTGTAAAACAAGCCAATTCACTTCGTGAGCTCGGCAACCGGGTTTCCGTTTTTTTTTACCTCTGTTTTTTTTTGGCGGTAACCATGATGGTGGTCGAGTAGATCATGTTGTGCGGGGTGGAGACGCCTCACTCCGCGCAAGGGGGATGATCGCACCACGTTGTGTTAAAATGGTCAAGCATCCTCGAGGCAGTTACACAGTGCTTACAACTGTCTCTAGAAGTGATAGCACCAGAAAATAAATTAAGTGGAGACGCCTCACTCCGCGCAAGGGGGATGATCGCACCACGTTGTGTTAAAATGGTCAAGCATCCTCGAGGCAGTTACACAGTGCTTACAACTGTCTCTAGAAGTGATAGCACCAGAAAATAAATTAAGTGGAGACGCCTCACTCCGCGCAAGGGGGATGATCGCACCACGTTGTGTTAAAATGGTCAAGCATCCTCGAGGCAGTTACACAGTGCTTACAACTGTCTCTAGAAGTGATAGCACCAGAAAATAAATTAAGTGGAGACGCCTCACTCCGCGCAAGGGGGATGATCGCACCACGTTGTGTTAAAATGGTCAAGCATCCTCGAGGCAGTTACACAGTGCTTACAACTGTCTCTAGAAGTGATAGCACCAGAAAATAAATTAAGTGGAGACGCCTCACTCCGCGCAAGGGGGATGATCGCACCACGTTGTGTTAAAATGGTCAAGCATCCTCGAGGCAGTTACACAGTGCTTACAGCTGTCTCTGGAAGTGATAGCACCAGAAAGTAAATTAAGTCATACGCAGCGTACATCCGTACGCAAGGAAGTAAGCACAAGATGCCGAA